TCTCCAACCCCCCAGCCCCCTTACCGTGCCACTCAGACCAGCGTGTCTGGCTTTGCACAGCGCCAGACACGCTGCTGCATACATGCTGCCATGCTCCCCTGTGGAGCCACAGCCCCCCCCCAGCACCTGCCTTCCAGATTTGAACACCTCAAAATTCAGGAGTGCTCAAGCTCAGTTTGGTCAGCCGTTACTTCATTTCTCCCAAATCAAATATACTGATCCACTGTAACTTGCTGTAGAAAAAATAGGAAAAAATTGAGCAAGAAATGCTTCCCAGTGGTTATTAGGACTGGAATTGCTGTTTTCAACAGCCATTGCCTTTTGTTTGTTTGTTTAAAAGGAAGACAGTGATATTGCATTGGCAAATTCCCCATAGAAAGAAAGAGTGGAACAGAAGAATAATAAAGGCACCTCAACTTTTCCTCATTTATGTAGGACAGTCTTATAATATGCATCCAGATGTCCTCCAATCACACAAGCTGAAAATTGTTCCACTTCACTGCAGTTCTGTAACCATATGGGAACCAATCCTGTCTGTGTTCTGTGCACATCCAAAATTCCTGCTGAATGACCTGCCCTGGGAGCGAGTTACCAGTGACCCAGGGCTGCGGTGGAAGGAGGGTGCAGGGCGGGGGAGCCCAGGGCTGGGGTGGCAGGAGGTGTGTGTGTGGGGAGAGCCCAGGGCTGGGGCGGCATTGGGGTGCAGGTGGGGGGGGTGAGAGCCCAGGGCTGGGGCGGCAGGGGGGTGCGGGTCGGGGGGGAGAGCCCAGGGTTGGGGCGGCAGGCGGGTGCGGCGAGGAGCCCAGGACTGGCACAGGGGGCAGCCAAAAATTTTTTTGCTTGGGGCGGCAAAAACCCTAGAGCAGGCCCTGGTGTTACGACATTGTGGCTTGTAATGAGCTCTGGCTGTAAGGTGGCTCCTATTCTCCTCGGCCCAGATCCACAAAGGGAATTAGGCTCAGCTGAAGTTAGGAGCCTAAGTAGCTTTGGCTCTGGGCCCTCCTGCCCTTTGGTTTCCAACGCTGCTGAAGTCCTTTATAAACTTCTTCTTTATAAGATTGCAGATTCCATAGCGGTGGTTTCATCAGACTTGGGGTCTAGGGCTGGCTCTGCCACTGACTTCCTGGGTCATCTTGGTGGGGGGGAAGCTCTCTTTGCCTCAGTTTCCCCTTCCGTACAGTGTGGATAATGATATTGACCTTCCTTTATAAGGGCTTAACTGCACAAGGAAGTTACTCTGAAATAAGGTAGGGCGTGAATTTAAAGCGCTAGAGTTATTCCAGAATAAGTGTCCATAGAGGGCGCTACTCTGGTCAATTTCCCCAGTGTAGCTAAGCCCTTCAAATGAAGGGTTATTACTCCTCTCCTCCTGCTGTTGTCTTCATGCCTGTCTCATGCTGTCCCTTGTGGTCGGGGCCCTCTTCTCCTTTTTATACCCCAAGCAACCCCTGCTTTCATCATTCAAACCCCACCTTGACTCTCACTTCTCCGGTGGCTCTTTTCAAAGTTAAACCGCCAAGTATAGCGTTAAAACACACAACACAGCCATAAAAAGCTGCTTTCGCTTTGGGCCGTCAGCATGGGTCTCTGATAAACCAGCTCTCTGCCATCTGTATTTGATTTAGACTCTGACCTCCCAGGGGCAGAGAGTGCCTGCGTACAGAGCCGAGCATAAAGTCATTGCTTATCATATCCCAAGGAGAGGCAGGACCAGCCGGTGGTTCAGGGCTGCGGGTTCAACTCCTTGTTCTTCCACTCCCACAGACTCCCTGTGTGGCTTGAGGAAGTCACCTGATCTGTCTGTGCCTCACTTCCCTAGCTATGAAATGGGGTAATAGTCCTCTCTTTCTCACATCCCCTATCTTCTCTATTAATCTTGCAAACTCTTTGGGGCAGGGACTTTCTCACCAGGACCCCATGCGTGTAAAGAATCACTTGTTCTCGCAGCACGTACAGTAGAACCTCGGTTACGAACCCCTCGGGAATGCAGGTTGTTTGTAACCCTGAACAAAACATTATGGTTGTTCTTTCAAAAGTTTACAACTGAACAGTGACAGTACAGCTTTGAAATTTGACCGTGCAGAAGAAAAATGTTGCTTTTAACCATCCTAATTTAAATGAAGCAAGCACAGAAACAGGTTCATTGCCCTGTCAAATCTTTTTTTTTTTAAACTGTCCCTTTATGTTTTTCGTATTTTCTGTTTAATACCATAGCGTGCTGTACGGTATTTGCTTTTTGGGGGTCTTTGCTGCTGCCTGATTTGTGTACTTCCAGTTCCAAATGAGGTGCGTGGTTGACCAGTCAGTCCGTACCTCTGGTGTACCACTGTACTATTGTTGACTTCTGTGGGACTACTCGCAGTGTATGAAATGAAGCATGTGTGTCACTAAGCCTTTGCAGGCTTCAGGCCTATGTGTATAGATGGGACCCTGATTGCAGCTGGAGCGAGGGGGGGCTACCCTAATATAAATAAACAATCAGAAAATGTGGAAAAGAGCCTTAGAGAATAATACTATGGTGTTAAAGCACCGCAAATTACTCCAGGACCTGGCCAGCAATCTCTCCTGTCAGTGACTAAGCCCTGTCATATGCAACATAATGAGAAGTCCATGACAGCCACCCTAGTGCCTGACCTGGGCTGTTTCTTTTCCCACACTCAGCCGAGTGTAACATGCTCTGTCTTTGAGGGGAGGAGTCAAAAAGGGTTTTCTCTCCGGAGTCTGGCTTCTTTCAACTGGTCCTGGGTTAGTGCTCTCCCCTCCTGGCCCCTCACCCAACGTTATCTGCTTAACATCAGTTGAGATCAAAAGCTTTAAGGCAACTTTGTGCCGGGCGGAAGAGAGACATTTGACTGGGGGAGAGGAAGGATTCTAGCGTCTTCCTACAGGAAGGGCAGGCGATAATGGGGATTCTGCTGCACATAATGACTGGTCGTTAACAGACGCTTAGGGAGGCAAGCAGCATCTTTCAATGGGTAGGGAGTGCATGACACCTATACAAGGCAGGAAAAGCAGAGATAACAGCCACCGCTCCAGGCCCCCCATGCGAACAGCAGTTTGCATTGATGCGGGGGGAGACCCAAGGGGGGGGAATTGGATGCACTTTGCCTTTAACAGGCTCTTGGCCAAAAACCCGAGCTTGCAGGCGCATATATGCATTGGCTGTGTAACAATATCCCCACGTGATGGCAATGAAAGCCTTTGCAGGGAGGGAGGGAGCAGGAGAGAGAAACTTGCAAGAGAGCTCCTGGGCGTCTCTAGTCAATTGCGCAGAGAGCAGCAGCAGCTGCGATGTGAAATTGACCAAAGTGGTGCAAGACTCTCTCTCTGCCCGTCCCGTGCCCCCCTGTTCTGCCCCTCAGTCCTTCTCGCCCGTTCCCTTTGCCAGCGGATGAGTTTCCAGTCACCCCCGGTCGCAGGGCAACATCCCCCAACATGCCTGAGCAGATCAGCGTCTCGGAGTTCCTGGCGGTGACTTCTGAAGACCTGAACTCCCCGGCGGCTTCTACCTTCTCCTCCAAAATGCAGAAGTGCAGGGGGGCAGTGGCGGTGCTGGAGAGGTGAGTGAGGGGCAGCAGCAGAAGAGGAGGGGGGGAGAGGAGTGGGGGGAGTGGTGTCCTGCCGGGGTTCTCCCTCTTGAAACTGGGAATTGGGCGCTTCTTCACCTTTTGTTGATGGGGGTGTCTCCCTTTGTTTTGTGGTAGGTATTGTTACTGCAGGAGGCAGCTCGGATCTGTTCCTTGTGCCTCGTTTATTCCCCCCCGATTGACCCTTTTCTTGCCATCTTTCCGAAAATCAGACGTGATTTCTCTTAAAGAAAAGGCGCTTTGCAGCACGCGTGCAAAGGGCGGAAGAGTCTGTTAAGATCTTGCTAAATTGTTTAACAACCTGGCCAGCTGAGTAAGTTACATGCCTCTCATTGTGTAACCGATCCTGTCCATGCTCTGTAGTTCATTTCCTTATTCTGGATACTGACACTCTTTATAGAGCTGGGAGCCCAGCAGGGTTGTGAAAGATGCTCTTGGTTGAAAAACAAAACTCCACACTTAAAACAAATGCATTTCCTTATGTTGACTACTAACAGCGCCTTCGATTATTGAAAATAACGAATTTACAGTCTATTGTGGTTTTCACTGTTTATGCTGTGGTTTCTGTACCTCCAATTTGGACAATGTGAAATGAATTATCTGTATAACAGCGGCACATAGAGATCCCAACCACCCTCTTTTCGTGGATATAAGCCTAAAAAGACACTGCCTTCTCTGAAGAGCATATACAAGGCCCCAATCCTGCAAAACACTTATGCACGTGCTTAACTGTAGGCTTGCGAGTAATCCCGTTGATTTTTTCAATGGAGATGTTAATACATTCAAAGTTAAGCATGTGGGTTGAAAGAGTTCAGGCCGAAATAGACAAAATCAGAGAAGTATTTTCTGTTTTGTAGTCAGTTTCATTTTCTGGTTCTTAATGCCATAAAGTGTGCGGGTTGTGGTGTCTGCAGAGACGCTCTGCTTGTTTTGAAAGTATCATTTCCCTGGGAATTTTAAGAAATAAAATCACAGAAATGTTTCAAATCCTGTTGGTTTTTTTGTAAAAGCTTTTTTGTACCAAATGGAGTCATCGACTTTAAGGTCAGAAGGGACCATTATGATCATCTAGTCTGACCTCCTGCACAACGCAGGCCCCAGAACTGCACCCACCCACTCCTGTAACAACCCCCTGACCTATGTCTGAGCTATTGAAGTCCTCAACTTGTGGTTTAAAGACGTCAAGGTGCAGAGAATCCTCCGGCAAGTGACCCATGCCCCATGCTGCAGAGGAAGGCGAAACCCCCCCAGGGCCTCTGCCAATCTGCCCTGGAGAAAAATTCCTTCCCGACCCCAAATATGGCGATCAGCTAAACCCTGAGCATGTGGGCAAGACTCACCAGCCAGACACCTAGGAAAGAATTCTCTGTGGTAACTCAGATCCCACCCCATCTAACATCCCATCACAGATCATTGGGCATATTTACCACTATTCGTCAAAGATCAATTAATTGCCAAAATTAGGCTATCCCATCATCCCATCCCCTCCATAAACTTATCACAGTTCTGGGGCGGAATTTGAGTTGATATTGTATCTTTCGGGTTATTAAGAACCAGACAGAATTCTGCTACAATAACCGTTCCAACTGCTGGAAGCTGCAGTGTTTTGCACCATCCCTGTGAATACTGTAGTGTATATGTTTTGAATAGGGGCAATTAGCAAAATACACAGGACCAGCTGCAGAGTCCGCAGAAGGAATGGACTTGAGGAACTGGGGCTAGATCCTGCAACTGGATCAGTGTAGGGGTTACTTCAAACCCCCTTCCTCTCTCTGTATGATAGATCAGACCTATTGCATCTGAAACTAGGATGGTAGAGGATCAGGCTGGCATCCCAAGTGCATACCCAGAGGGTATGGGCGAGTTTGTATTCAGGTGGCTAGCCCGAGCTGGCATCCATCCTACCCCGAGCTATGCTGCTATTTGGAGCACGGGAGCTTGGAGCAGACCTGCCTCGTGTCTGTCTGCCCGAGCCAGGAAGCACGCTCCCAGCTGCAGTGTAGACGTACCCTTTGTGGGCACTGCCTGGTGCAGTCTGGCTTCTCCA